GCACTAATTGTGCCTGGGGTCTGCACAGTTCCCCTTCCTCAGTGCCCATGGGGCGTGTTACCCACATCTGCCTATGAGGTATCATTGCATCTGCTGGATACCTCCAGTTCTGCTCTCTGTCTTCATTTTTTGTTTGTTTGCTTGCTTGTCTTAGCAAATAAAGAATAGATAAGGAATAAATAATCTCCTGAAGAAACCAAGTTGTGCCTTTGGTTCATGATACAACTGTCTGATGGGAAGGGTACAAGCTAGACTCAATATGTTTTCTTAGTGTTTACTCAACACACACAAAGTAGAATTCTAGAGGGAGGAAAAGGCATGCAGAGATACCAAGTGAATCATGTTATGATGATCGCACCAGCAAAAAGGAACACACAGCCCTCACCATTGCATGAGGCTCAAATAACATCCTATGCCAACACATGAAGTAACTCCTACAGGAATTACAAGGACAAAATAGAATAAACGAGTGTCCTGGGATGTTTTATTTTACCTATTTTAATATACATTTATGATAGATTCAGTACATAAAAATGAAAATACAAGGGATCTAATAATATATAATGAGTCCTCAGTTCAGACTCTCAGAATAGTACTTGTGGGGTACATATAATAATCAGGATTTGAATTATAAAGAAAAAATGAAATGTTAATTTCAAATCCACCATAAAACTCACCTCCCTGCTTAAAGAGAGTTGAGGCCAGGCACCATGGCTCATGCCTATAATCCCAGCACTTTGTGAGGCCAAGGTGGGTGGATCACCTAAGGTCAGGGGTTTGAGACCAGCCTGGCCAACATAGCGAAACCCCGTGCCTACTAAAAAAAAAAAAATAGCTAAGCGTGGTGGCAGGAGCGTGTAATCCCAGCTACTCAGGAGGCTGAAGCAGGAGAATCTTTTGAATCCAGGAGTTGGAGGTTGCAGGGAGCCGAGATTGCGCCATTGCACTCCAGCTGGGCAACAAAAGCGAAACTCTGTCTCAGAAAAAAAAAAGAGAGAGAGAGTTGAAACGTGCTTCTGGAGACAGTGAACTGCAGGTCTCTGAGACCTGACTAACTGTGCCTGCGTCTGGTTCTAGTCACTAACAGTGTGGCCTTAGGCACCTCTCCCTGCCTTGATTGTCAGCTTCTGTAAAATAGGGAAGTGGTGATCTTGGCTTCAAAGTGTTCCTGTAGAGATTACAAAATATACACATAAAATGCTTAGGAGACTGGCAACAAATAGGAAACACACAATAAGAGTTGTTATTATTACTACTACCAATAGTAGTAATACTGCTACTGCTATTATTATTACTACTACCTGCTCCTGGGGCTTCAAAACAATACTTAAAAAGAAGCAATTTAAAGGAAGAAAAGGTTAGTTTGGAATATTTGTAACTTCAAGGCCATCAGTGGGGGTGCATCACAAATTAGCAGGGAGTAGAAGAAATCTTAGGCTCTTAAAATTACGGGGAATCGCCGGGCGCGGTGGCTCAAGCCTGTAATCCCAGCACTTTGGGAGGCTGAGGCGGGTGGATCACGAGGTCAAGAGATCGAGACCATCCTGGTCAACATGGTGAAACCCCGTCTCTAC